GGCTAAGGTAATGGGTTATGAAAGAACGGAAAGGAATTTTGCAAGTGTAAGAGACTTAATCTTTTTCAATATATGATCGTGAACAATCTCCTTCTCGCTTCTCTATTCATTCACCAATTACTCTTTCACCTTGATTGAACTTTTCCTTCCAACAGTAGCACAAACCCTCATATAATGTAAACCTCATTCCATGTTCTTCTTACTAGCTACTTCTTCCCTTTTTTTTTTTCTTTGCTTTTTTTTTTCATAGGAAGATAATAACTTATAAAAACAACAGTCTACCCCACCTTGCTTTTATTATTTTTTTTTTTCACAACCCCCAACCTATCTCATTGTACATATTCAAGTTGTGGTCCAAAAGATTCATCCATTTTCCTCTACCGCACTTCTTTTCATGAGTTTTTCTTCCAAGGTCATGCCAAATTAAGTCTCTCACAATAAAATGGGTCGAAAAGTGTTTCAGGTTATCATCAAGGTAAGATATAGTATATTTAAAACAAAGAAACAAGGCTTTTCAAGTGTATATACAAGCCCAAAGGGTTAACTATAGGTTGGCTTGAAAGGCTCTATCGTTCCAAAGAAAATTGTCTAAATAATATCCTAAGCAATGCGAATTCTAGGATTTCGCCTCAAGTGGTTATCAAATGAGTCCTAGAGTTTATTGAGATCTCAAAATTAAATGCCCATAAAGAATCACACATAAAACTTCTCTAAGTATTCAGATTATTCAACCAATCAAACCCATCCCCAAGAGAGTTGTAAACTAAATGCAATTGACACCTACTAACATCATTACACTACACAAAAGTTAATGTCTTCTCAAAGTTACATGTTTTTTTTTAAATCATAGTGCTATCATTCACTTACAAAGTAATCCACGAACTAAACAAAATTCAAAAAAAAACTCAAAAACAAAAACAAAAAATCCTCATAAATCCATAAATTTAAAAGTTTTGGAAGAGACTTCCCTTACTTGCAATCTAATATCTACATTATCCCCAATGTACAAATGTAACCAAAAGGAAAAGGAGAAAAGGAAAATTTACCCCCTTTTTTCAATAGTGAAGTGCGAATTCGCGTGACAATTTAATCACCTCCCTTATTTCATTCCATTGTTTAAATCAACTTCTTGCAAAAACAAAGAGACTTTCGGTGTACCTTATCGACAACACACCTCACTTGTTAAATATATGAATTTAGAGAAACAAACACAATGTCAATGTTAGTCAAGCTAAATGAAAATGTAAAAAATAAAAAATGACTCAAGTACAAACCAAAACAAATTCAAAATTAAAGTAAAGAGCTTGGGTTGCCTCCCAAGAAGTGCTTTATTAGAGTCGAAGCCCTCATATCTTTAATGCCACCATTTACATATAGCTTCGATTCCTCTCTTTCCCTCTTATTCTCAATTTCCTCCTCCATAGTCCTAAAATTGACTACACAGGTTTCTAGGGGTGGGCGAGAGTATTTTTCTTCTAAGGTCTCGACTACTTTATCATCAAGGATGTTAATCTCAAAGCAACTATCTAACTTGGGTGGACATTTCATAGTATCAAAAACATTAAATTCAACTTGTTCATCCTCTACCCTCAAGATTACTTTTCCTTGATGAACATTTATCAACTTTTCACTCGTATCTAGGAAAGGTCTTCCTAAAATTAGAGACACCTCCTGATCTTTTTCCATATCTAATACAATAAAATCTACCTGGAAAATTAGTTTCTCTACCTTTATTAAGACATCTTCTACCAGTCTCCTAGGATATTTTATGGATATATCCACTAATTGAAGGTGAACCATGCTCGGTTTCACTTCTCCTAAGGCAAGTTTCCTATAAATAGAAAAAGGCATCCAATTCACACTAGCTCATAGATCTCATAAAATCCTTGTCAAAATGTAAACTACCAATAGTGCATGGAATCGTAAAACTCCCTGGATCTCCAAGTTTTGGTGGTAGTTTCTTCAAAAGTAGCACACTCTTCAATAAGCATAATCATCTCATGTTCTTCAAACCTCCTTTTGTGTGTAAGAATGTCCTTGAAGAACTTGGCATACTTTGGCATTTGCTCCAGCATATCTACAAAAGGAATATTTACGTGCAAGCTTCTAAACATAACCATGAACTTACCAAATTGCTTGCCCAATCTCTGCTTATGTAGTCTATGGGGATACGAAGAGATGCTTCATCTTTCTTCACATCTTGGGCTTTTTTTCTCAATTTCTGCTTCTATGCCTAGGCACTGTGCTAGGGCATTCCTCATTCTGGATTTTGTGCCTAAACACTATGCTGGGGCATTGGTGGCTCTGTCTAGTTTCATGTCTTTAGCATTTTCCTTAATTTCTTCAGCTTTTCTTAATTCTTTCAGCTCCTTACCACTTCTCAACATCATGGCATTGAGTTGCTCCCTTGGATTCTTCTCGGTATCACTCGACAACATTCCTTGAACTCTTCCTGCTAAGATGTTATAGATTTGCCCCATTTGAGTTTCAAGATTTCTTATGGAATCAGATTGATTTTGCAACAAAACTTCATACTTTTGAAGCTGAGTTTTATTCTCGTTAAATCTTTTGCTTGACTTCTCCATGAATTTAGTGAGCATACTCTCCATATTAGAGATCTTCTCTTGAGTTTGAGAACCAGAAGGTAGCTTATGGTCATTATTGTTACTCGAGGAAAAGTTTGGATGGTTTCGCCATGCTAGAGTATAGGTACTCGAGTACAGATTTGCTTGCCCTCTTTGATAATTGTTGACGTAATTTGTTTGTTCCGATTGAGCAAATGGATTGTTAGGAATCGATCTACCCAACGTAGTGGAAAACAAAAATTCAAAAGGATGAATCGATTCCTTTTATGCCAAGATTCAGGGTATAGATCATATAGTTTACATGTTAAAACAAAATTCTGCATAAAATAATACCAATCCAGACAAGGATTAGAGATCTTACGCATGTTTGGAGACTCCTTCAAATATCCCTGAATCTACTTTGCTGCCGATTCAATGTAGAACTGAACGAACAGTGATCCACACAAAGACAATCCGAAAAACCAAAGAGGGATTTGCTAGATCCACTAATTGGCTTCAAGAATCAAGTTGAATCAAAGAAAAATTTTGATTCAAAACCAAGGGGAGAACGTGTGAGAGAAGGGAGAAAAGGCGGCTGCCTTTTTCTTTCCTTTTAATGGAAAATGAATGATTGATTAATCTTTTAACACAACTTGCACTTATATAGTGCAAGTTGTTGAAACCCTATTCCTATAAGGAATAAACATGGGTTCCAACTCTAGTCCACCCTTGTGTCCAAACACCCTTCTCATGGTATTTTATTTTTAATTAATTATTATTATAATTAAAATCAATTAATATATTTATAAAGTACATTAACATTTAATTAATAATAATAATTCATTTAAATATATGTGTACATATATTTAAATATAATCTCACTAATTTACTTTGGATATTAAATTAAATAAGGCAACAACCTTGACAAATTTAATTGCACTGTGAGATTACCAAAATACTTTTTCATCCTAAAAGACGAAAATACCCCTTGAACAAAACGATTCTTAAACTATCTTTTAGGTGTGTGACCCATAGGCTTCTCATCATATTAACAGTGAGTAGTATCGTGATTAACACTAATTAATCATCTCACTACGCGTAAACCAAGATTGACCCCTAGCAAGGCATCATGGCCACCTGATAGATTCAAATTCAGCGAAATAGCTACCTATCAATGATATGGTTATCGCGCAATCAAATCCTTTTATCATCTGTTATCTCATCAAGACTGCGGTACAGAAATAGTGTCAACCTCAGTTACTCTCAATATCTTTGTATTCAGTTACTGGATCAATAACCGGAATAATAAATTGGATTGAGCAACAACTCAATCCTACTGTGGCCACAGATTTAGTGTCATTGTCATTTACTGAATTGCACTCAATCCTACTGTGGCCACAGATTTAGTGTCATTGTCATTTACTGAATTGCACAGTGAGATAACTTCTCCCGTACTCGAGAGTGATGAATCCTTTGTCTATCCACCATAGTCTTGATACACTCCTCGATACAGCCAATCACTACCATATTGAAAGCTCTGAATAGAACTGCATTGGGCTAGTGTCAAACTACACCAATCGGTGCACAAGGCATTCTAGTGATCTCAAATCTAAGGATCACATGCACCACCATTCGTTAGAGGATTTATTCCATAGACACTAGGGTTACCATCTATATGGAATCCTCTAGTGGGTAAGTCCAATGAACTTGCCAACAGCAAGCACCCATGTGTTGCACCAGGTTGTCGGCAAACAACCTTGACAAGTGAGATCAGTCATTGCCTTTCGATAGGGTCGTTCAACACTATGATAACCATACCGTATTATCTGTGCCCTTGGTCAGAATAATACTAGAGCTACAGACATTTCTAGAATGGCTACCATATGTGATCATAGCGTTCTCACTATCAAGATTTGAAACACTTGATACCCTTATCACGGTTCTACCATCCCAAGAACATATATCAATACATACATATATGATTTACATGATAAAGAATAAATTGTCTTTTATTGATTAATGAACATTATTACAAAGAGTCAATTTTACAATAATTGATTGGCTTTAAAGCACCTACTCTAACATGGACTCCCTACTTGACAATCCTTTGACAAGTGATTTCCTGCACAAAATTCACAAGTTAGCGAAGAAGATTCAATAGCATCTACCTTTAAGGCAACTCCCAATTGCTTTTGAATGGCTAAAAGTTGAGCAGCCAATGCAGTGTAGCCATCAACTTCATGCACTCCCACTGCTTTCCTTGTTAAATTTCTCTCTGAAGGCCTTATGTATTTATTGCTCGTATCACCTCAATCAAATTCTAGGCTTCCTCTGATGTTTTGTTGTTAAAAGCTCCCCCCACTTGCAGCATCAATCATAACTTGTACATTTGGCAGCAAGCCATTGCAAAACGTCTACACTTATAACCATATTGGCAACCCATGGTGAGGACACTTCTGTAAGAGATCCTTATACCTTTCCCATGCTTCATACAGTAACTCCATGTCTTGTTGGAAAAAAAAAAATTTATGTCACTTCTTATCTTGGCAAACTTGACAGGTGGAAAATATTTTGTAAGGAACGCTTGGACTAACTCATTCCAAGTGGTGATACTTCTAGGTGGTAGTGCAATCAACCAAGCCTTAGCTTTATCCTGAAGGGAGTATGAGAAAAGCCTTAGCCTAATTGCATCATCAGATATCCCATTGTGTCTGAAAGAGTCACATAGCTCCAGAAATTTGCGATATGCAAATTAGAATCATCAGTAGGCAACCCTCCAAATTGTATCGAATGTTGTATCATTTGAATAATGGCTGGCTTTATTTCAAAATTATTTGCTTGAACTGGTGGTTTCCTAATACTAGGTGAACAACCTTCAATAGTAGGGCTAGAGTAGTCCTTCAATGCTCTTTGAATAACCACAACTCCACTAACCACATTATCCCTTCCTGCATCATTCCCATGGACTTCCTCATTGTTTCTTAGGTTATTTCTTCTCATTAACTGAGCCATTGAATTAGATTATTGTGTGCTAGCTTGTCTCCTTACTTTTCTCAACTTTCTAATCCTTCTCTCAATCTTAGAATCGAAAGGATCAAGATTAGCACCTCTAGAGCGTAAGCTCTCCAGGATCTAAAGACGAACATAAAAAAATTTAGAACTAATAATTAAAACGCTAAAACAAAAATAAAATAAAAAAATACAAACCAAATTAGCAACTAACAGTTTGTAATGATATTGATAAAAAAAAAAATAATAATTCCTCGGCAATGGCGCCAAAAAACTTGGTAGGATATTTTTCAAGCATACGAATTCGTGCAAGTAATAATGAGTAATACCAGATATTGAACCCTAGAGAATTGCTATTACCAATTACCAAAATTGACTATGTTGTTACTATTTGATTAAAAAAACTGATGAAAAATACTAAACTAAATAACCAATAAAAACAAATTAAAAACCTGAAAGAAAATAAATTCAAACACAAACCCTTAATTTTTAATGTAAGATGACTAAACCTAGGGCATAGACTTCACAGCAACTCTACTTATATGTATTGATAATTTATGCTAACCTTATTAAGCCTTTTCTACAGGTTAAACTCCCTAGAATTCCAATAACTTTCTCCCAAACAATTACCAAATTAAATCCTAATTACCAACCTGAGATATCTCTAAATTAGATTTAAATACTAAAAGATCATTATGTTCTATAGAGTTTACCAAAACCTCACAAGTCGCGATAACCTATCTCTAACATTCGCTCAACCTAGGGTTTTATTATCCTAGACTAACTAAGCATCATCTCTTGACCTCAACCTAGTCCATTAATTCATTCAATTCTCAGGCCCTCAATAATCAAAAGTATTAAGAACAATAATAAAACTTAGAAAGAATGCCTAATAAGAATTAACAATAATATATCAACACATAATCATAGAGATTGGGCTACATCTTAGCTCTAGAAAATAAATTTAGTTCATAATCAACATGAAAGAAACAATCATCTTCATTAAAATAATCAACATGAGTTTGAGAAAGAAACAAGAAGAACTTCTCTATATTGCGAATCAAAAGCTCCAGAAATTTTGTCACTTTGATCTTTTTTTGCATTCACCTTCTCTAATTCTCTCCTATTCTCCTAAAAATTAGCTAAATACTTAATATTTATACTCCTAAAGTGTTAGGGTTGTGTTCCCCCTTTCCTATTTAATTTAGAACTCCTAATTCCCAAAATACCCGTCATAAAATAGATATAGATTTTTCCAAAATCATAATTATGCTACGACATTATACCTTAGCATGGTCGGTTCTGCCCTAAAACTCTTAAGTTGTCTAGAATCTGTTGTGCCTCATGACTATGCTACAGTACTAAAAAGACAGCAATTTTTGAGCATGATAACGTTAGAATCTGGCCAAGTGTGGACATATGAAATATATCCCTTTGAATCAGCTTTCCAACGATCTAAGAATCATCTCAATCTGAGGTCTACAGCTCAAGTTATTGTTGAACTACCGAGGAATGTTCAAACTTGAGCATATTGTAGGATTTTCTCTTCAACTTTAAAACGTCATAACTTCTTCATTTTAGCTCCAAAACATGAGCCGTTTGTTTCTTGTCATCACACATTCTATTGCCAACATAATTCTTTAATTGAATATCATATTTAAGCATTGATAACCTGAAAACACTCAAAACACACCGGTGACCTCATAAAAGATATTTATGGAATAATTAAATTAAATTAAATTACTCAATTTAAACCTAATTTCCCACAAATAATCCCCATAAACCAGTAAGTACATGCGTATTTTCAAGCTCTTATCACCATCCTATATAACTTGGCCTTGCCCATCCACCACTGGTGATCATAGTTGTTTTCATCCCAATAAAATTTTTCCAGTGATAGTCATCATAGTTCTCATTTTGATAATCTCCATAACTTATATTCCCATTATTATCAGTGGTCAAAGTCTGACGCCAATGTGAAGCACTTAGAGGTCTAAACTTTGGTCAACTAGCTTCAGTTTGAACCTCGGTAAGGTATTCCTCCCTTTTTGGGGGCAATCATAAAGTGGACTTGAAGGCTTATACCATTTATCCTCACCATATCCATAATTACTTGAAGGCTTATGGTATTTATTCTCACCATAATCGTACTCTTTCATTGCTTCATACTCAAACTTTGAAGAACTATGTTTGGGGTTATTAATGAAAGGTTAATGAAACTGCTGCACAATTTGATATTTCTTTCCCCTCATCATCAACAATGACCAGCTTACAGACATGATCTGAGGCATAGCTACTTGGCTTGCTCCATGATCAGTCTAAGGCCATAAGCCGTTGCACCTGGAGTACCCTTTGTAATTGTAACCAAGCCAGACATTGCTTAGTCTAGAGCAGGAAACTTGTTCTTTATGTAAAGAAAGCTAGGACTTCTTTTTCTCACATTTCACAGTTGTTAAACTTCTCCTTTATATAGAAATATTAACTCCACTTTTGTTTACATGATACAATATGAGATTCAAAAGCATTGATTGTGTGTCTCAAACTCTCAATCATATCTTACCTTTTGGAAATGCACTTTGAGATTCCCTTTGTGTTATGGAAAAAAATAGTTGAACCTGAATCAGTCATATTCTGATTCTTCCATGACTATCATTACACATAAATTGATTATTAACTTGTAAGATGGATCCATATCTTTACAACAAATATAATTATATATTGTTTTACTGAATGTAAGAAATCTCTCGTTTGATTAATGAATAGTCACCTAGAAAAGTATTGTAAATTTAAATACAAGTCATACATGATTGAATAAAGAAATTACAGCTAACCATCAATTACATGTGTTCAAATATCTTCTCAGAGGATATATTAAAGTTAATAATGTTAAACAACACATTGTTTGGTCCATCATTTAGTCCAAATGTTACATTCGGATTATCAAAACCAATTCAGAATACAGCATTAGGGAATCTTTGGATGATTATGTTGACTTCTAGGAATGTGAATGTGTTTAATAAAGCCCCAACTTTACTACTAAAACCAAGATATGACACCTCATAGTAATGGATCCCCTACCCGCATATTCTGGGAACACAAAGTGGGTGTTCATAGGGGGAGGGATGAAATGTTGAGGACTAATGATATCTAAAATTGTTTCCTCTTCTTACAAGAAAGCAATTTGTGCATCTACCAACTTGGACTTGTGTCATATGGCTACCTATTTCCACCATTAGGTAAGGGGAGTGTGCTCGTGAACCCATAATGTACTGACACATATAGTAGTTATTAGAAAGTACAATGGATGGTTGTATCATGTTAAGCTCATACTTCATTGGCGCTTCCATTGACTTGATTGTGCTTGCAGAAGTCATGGATGTAATATGAGCCTTGGAAAGTTCAATAAGTATTTGGTGTCTTTCTTCAAGGTGAGATTTATTGGGAAATTGACATAATTGATTGAGTTGATTAGGATGAGTTTCATACAAAAACCATAAATTCTAGAAGGGATAATGGTAGCAAACATAAAAATAAAAATTGCTAAGGTTGCATGATATGAAATTGTTATGTGGAACGAGGTTTTTAGAGCCATTTGCTCCTTCCTTTTTCTGTTAATATGTAAGGAAATTGCTAGAGCTTGTATGTATATATGGTGTTGAAAATGTGGCTCAAACACTTGAAATATTGGTTTTTGCTTACATCTCACATTGGTTAGGAAACTAAGGAGTCAAGTCTTGGTTTCCTATATAACAGGGTGGGATTTTCCTTATGTCCCACAGTGGATAGTTAATAAAAGGCTAAAGCTTTTTCGAGTTGTATATAGGGATATTAGGCTTTGGTTTGAGTATCCAAATCCATTTTTGGATCCCCACAAGTCTGGGAGTTTTTATTTGAGATTTTCCTTTGTTTTGGTAATTGTTTATGCCCATATAGTTTGGGTATTTGTAGTATTGCCCAAACATTTGTAATATTCTTCAACAAATACTGGGGTTTCTTTTGCATTGCTCGAGGACATAGGTGACAATACCGAACCTCATTAATTTCTGGTATTCTTTATTTTTACATTTATTTCTGCTTTAGTTGTTGTTATTATATTTCAATAGCTAGATTTAGAGTTTATGTTTATGTTGCATAACAAGTGGTATCAGAGCCTAGGTTTAGGATAGTAAGTAGCTATTTCCATGGTTACGTGCATGTCTAGGAAAATTCTGTTAAAAAGACGATAAGAGTCTAAAAAGATTGGATTTTAAATGGGATCGTTTATGACTCCTCCAGTGTTTCCTGGGAATTTTTTCAGTGCATATTGAATCATTTTGAGCACTTACTGCTATCCAATGATATTCTTAATTTTTGCTTAGCTATTGAATATATAATTTATGGAGCTTGGTTATTGGAGAAGTTTGTCTACAAAGCCAATTGAGTAAGACGTAAATGACATCATCATCCGCAACATCGTCATCAGCACCTGTAAAAATGATAATGTTTACTAATGCAAAAATTAATGTTGGAAAGTTTGAAAGAGAGAAATTTGTTGGG